CTAATATACTGACCCAAATCCCCAGGAATGCTGAGTGAATGTGCAGCCCATTGCTTCCAGGGGACTCTATGGTGAGAGATGGGAAGGTAGGAAAGGCTGAATTATCCGGATTGCCCTGAGTCAAGGGTGGGCATTGTGGCTGGCAGCTCCCAGATGCCTCTGCTACTAGAGGAGGGCTGGTAGGATAGAGTTAACTGTTTAGAACCACCTGGGGCTCTGGGAATTTGCTTCTGAGTTCAGATTCTCCTCATCTTGACAATGACCATCCTGGGCTGGGATTGAACAGATTTTCTTAAAACCCCTGATTCTAAAATGGGACAGTCCCTGGCTAAGTCACTCTGTCTGGAAGACTACACATCCCAGAAGCTTCTGTGGTGGTCTGTTTCTGGCCTTTTGCCCTTGGGTGCATTAGTGAGTGTGCATCTGCCCATCTGGCTCAGGCTGCTGCAGCATTTGGCCTGGTGGAGTGCAGGGTTGGGATGCAGAGAGAGGGTCTCCTGGACTCCATTTCTCCTCTCCTCATATTCCACTCCTCATGGTGTCACAGACAGACCTAGTTACAGCAGTGGGAACAGATTTTATTCAGTAACTGCTGAGGGTGGAAGAAGGTGCTGACATTAACCAGGGAGCCAGGAGAGGCCCAACTTATGAGCTGTGAGCAGCTCCTGTGCTGCGCATGGCCAAAGGGGCATGGTCAAACATCTTTAATGCCACCTCCTTGAGAATGAGCTGGCTTCCCCCTAAGGACCAACCCTGGAGAGCCCCAGCTGGTGGGAGTGTTGGGTCACTCCACAGAGAGGGGCAGAGCTCCCTTTTCAAAGTAGATTGAGAGAGACACCCAGGTTGGGGACGGACCCTTGTGGTTCATGTCTCCAGGGATTCCTGGAGCTCCATTTTTAGGACAGCCTCAGCAGGATCTTGGCTTAGGGACTTTCATGAGTCATGTCTCTAGGGATACCTGGGTTTCCTTTCTCCTCAGAGCAGCCTGAGGGGGATGCCTGTTTTGGAGACCCTCATGTGTCATATTTCTAAGGACACCCAGAGTTCCTTCTCCTCAGAGCAGCCTGAGGGGGACACCTGTCTTGGGGACCCTCATGTGTCATGTTTCTAGGGACATCCAGAGCTTCCTTCTCCTCAGAGCAGCCTGAGGGGGATGCCTGTCTTGGGGACACTTGTTGTCGTGTTTCTAGGGACACTCAGAGCTTCCTTCTCCTCAGAGCAGCCTGAGGGAGACGCCTGTCTTGGGGGACCATCATGTGTTATGTTTCTAGGATCGCCTAGAGTTTCCTTCTCCTCAGAGCAGCTTGAAGGAGATCCAGGGTTAGGGAATATAATGGGTCATGTCTCTAGGGACACCAGGAACCCCCTTCTCCTCAGAGCATCCCAAGAGCAATGCCTGGCTGGGGACCCTTGTGTGTCATTTTTATAGGGGCACCAGCACCTCCCTTCTTCTCAGAGAAGCCTGAGGGAAATGCCAGGGTTGGGGACCCTTGTGGGTCATGTCTATAGGGGCACCAGGAACCCCCTTCTCCTTAGAGCAGCCTGAGGAGGATGCTTGTTTTGGGGACCCTCGTGTGTCATGTTTCTAGGGACACCCAGAGCTTCCTTCTCCTCAGAGCAGCCTGAGGGGATTCCTGTCTTGCAAATCCTCATGTGTCAGGTTTCCAGGGTTTCCTAGGGGTTCCTTCTCCTCAGAGCAGCCTGAGGTAGATCCAGGGTTGTGGACCTTTGTGGGTCTTATCTCTAGGGATGCCAGGAACCCTCTTTTCCTCAGAGAAGCCTGAGGGAGATGCCTGGCTTGCATACCCCCATGGATCTTATCTCTAGGGGTTCCTGGAGCTCCCTTATCAGAGCAGCCTAAGGGAGATGCCCAACTTGGGTACATTGTGGTTTGTGTCTCTATGATGCCCAGAGATTCTTTCTCATTAGAGCAGCCTTATCCAGACTCTTGGCTTGGGGACCCTCATGGGTCATATCTGTAGGGATGCCAGGAACTCCCTTCTCCTTAGAGCAGCCTGAGGGAGACACCTGGCTTGGGGACACTCATTGGTCATGTCTTTAGGGATGCCAGGAACTCCCTTCTCCTCAGAGCAGCCTGAGGCAGATATATGGCTTGGGTCATGTCTCTAGGGATATCAGGAACTCCTTTCTCCTCAGAGCAGCCTGAAGGAGATGCCAGGGTTGGGGATCTTCACGGGTTATGTCTCTAGGGACACCAGGATCCTCCTCCTCAGAGCAGCCTGAGGGAGATGCTTGGCTTGGGGACCCGCATGTGTCATGTCTCTAGGGGTTCCAGGAACTCCCTTCTCAGAGCAGCCTGAGGGGGATGTGTGGCTTGGGGACCCTCCTGGGTTATGTCTCTAGGGACACCTGGAGCTCCCTTGACAGAGCAGGCAGAGGAAGACACCTGGCTTAGGGACCCTCATTTGTCATGTCTCTAGGGACGGCAGGTGCTCCCTTCTCAGAGCAGCCTGAGGGTGAGCCTCACTTGTGGACTCTCGTGAATCATGTCTCCAGTGATGCCAGGAGCTCCCTTCTCCTCAGAGCAGCCTAAGGGAGATGCCAGTGTTGGGTACCCTAGTGGGCCATGTCTCTTGGGACACCAGGAGCTCCCTTCTCAG